AAAAAAAAAAAAAAAAATATTTAAAAAAGCTATGAAGGTTCCTAAAATAATTAAAAACAGAACTACCATATGATCCAGCAATTCCACTTCTGGGTATATATGCCAAAAAATTGAAAGCAGAGTCTTGAAGAAATATTTGCACACTGCTCAAAGCAGTATTCACAATAGCCAAGAGGTAGAAGCAACCTAAGTGTCCGTCAACAGATGAGTGAAAACCAAAATGCAGTGTATATGTCTGTGTTATATATTCAATGGAATATTACTCAACCTTAAAAGGGAAGGAAACTCTGTCACATGCTGTAACAACACTGAGTCTTGAGAACATTATGCTAAGTGAAATGAGCCAGTCACAAAAGGACAAATACTGTTATGATTCCATTTATATGAGGTATTTAAAGTAGTAAAGTTCAGGGGTGCCTGGGTGGTTCAGTCAGTCAGCTCTTGATCTCAGCTCAGGTCTTGATCTCAGGGTCATGAGTTCAAGCCCCGCGTTGGAGCCCAGCATGGAGCCTACTTTAAAAAAATAAAAAATAAAGTAGCCAAATTCATAGCGACGGAAAGTAGAATGGTAGCTACCAAGAGCTAATGGAGCAGGGAAAGGGGAGTTCCTGCTTAATAGGTATAGAGTTCAAACTTGCAACATGACAAAGTTTTGGAGATCCGTTGCACAACAATGTGAATATACTTAACACTACTGAACGGTACACTTACAAATGGTTAAAATGGTAAATTTTATGTTATTTGTTTTACTTCCCCCCAAAAAATAGATAGAAAGATAATTTTAAAAAGACAGGGTGGCTCTATAAAAGATTATCTTGGGGCACCTGGGTGGCTCAGTTGTTAAGCGTCTGCCTTCAGCTCAGGTCATGATCCCAGAGTCCTGGGATCGAGCCCCGCATTGGGCTCCCGGCTCCGTGGGAAGCCTGCTTCTCCCTCTCCCACTCCCCCTGCTTGTGTTCTCTCTCTCTGTCAATTAATAAATAAAATCTTTGGAAAAAAAAAAGATTATCTTGAGGGTCTTAGTTTGGCTAATTTGCTTAGAACAAAGTTCTGTAGTAAAGAAGGAGCAAGCATATGGTTAGCGAAGCAAGCCAGATAGGGTGGCATGGCCTGCTTAGGAGCATCTCAACCTCCTCTATCTCATTTTCTCCCAAAAAGTCTTTTTGTTTTCTCCCACAGTTTAGAGAACTCATCCCCACTCCCACTCTCTCACACACTACAGCAGACATACAAAAGCAAACTTCCCGGGGACAAAATTCCACTTAGTCTCCTGCTGCTGGAGACCCAACTCTTCCTGATAGGAGCCCTTGAAACATTTATAGGAAATAAGCCTTTTTCAAAATACTAGTTTACTCAAACTCTGGACCAAGGAACGTATCTGAGTTGAGGTGAGATAGAGGAGAGTTTATTTAATGCAACGAAGTATGAAGAGATAAGGGCTTCCGTGGGGCAATAAATTTTAAAAATTATCAGTTAGAATGTGCTAAATACCTACATATGAGAACCAGGGGTAGTGATTTCCATTTAAAAGCAAACAGCAGGCGCCTGGGTGGCTCAGTTGGTTAAGCGACTGCCTTCGGCTCAGGTCATGATCCTGGAGTCCCAGGATCGAGTCCCGCATCGGACTCCCTGCTCAGCAGGGAGTCTGCTTCTCCCTCTGATCCTCCCCCCTCTCATGCTCTGTCTCATTCTCTCTCTCAAATAAATAAAAAATAAATAAAAGCAAACAGCGTTTTAGGCATTAAGCACCTACATGTCCTGAAACTGTTAGGCCAGACATCTGTAGACCAATGCTGACTGTAAGGCATGTGACAGCAGTTCTTGCCTTTCCTCACTTAAAATATTTTTTAGAATGAAATCTACTTTTAAAAGATCATATTTTTAAGTAATCTCTACATCCAACGTGGGGCTCGAACTCACAACCCCGAGATCAAGAGTTGCGAGCTCCACCAACCACCAACGGAGCCCCAACAAAATCTATTTTTAATCAACATTCTTCTCGTAGCATTTAAGGTCTATGCTCCCTTCTCCCCAACCAGGGCAGTTCTGTTTGGGCCTATTGTATTCAGTGGATCCCTGGGTAAGCTTTTGTTTTATTCAAGAATTCTATAGCTGAGGGGCGCCTGGCTGGCTCATTCTGTAGAGCCTCTAACTCCTGATCTCCAGGTGGTGAGTTCCAACACTCACACTCACGAACTCATTAAAAAATTCA